TCATCTTCCAATTCTTAGTGTGAATTAATTGGGCAGTAGCTATGTATCGATTAACGGTTCCACTGACCTACACACCCTTGACCTAATTTACCATTTTGTGGGGTAGGGGGCAGACTAAGATCTCTCAACACAACACCCCCCTTTGCAATCCAAGTTAAAGTAATTGATGCCTAGAGGTGAAGATCTATAGCTAAGTATTGCAAAAGGGGAAGGAGCTAAGATTTCTCACTCACCTTGAGAGAATAAATTGAGGAGAAAGCACACGATATAGAGATGGATACTGATGGGAAATGATATATATTTATATGCACAGCAAAATTGTTACCTAACAGATCAAACAGTAAATCAGCAGAGAAAGAGTATAGTCTAAGCTGCCTGGTGCTAACAACGTCAAACTTGCAGGTTTGATCCCTGTATGGGACAGCTGCATATTCCTGAATTGCCTTATATAATGCCGCAGATGGTAAACATAATTTTGCAAATTGAAAAATGTGTTTCTCAATCTTGGGGGAAAGTTTTGGCAGCAGGATCATGCTGGTAGTGGCATTGCTTCTCATACTGTTGTGTCATACTGTTTGTGGGAAACATGTTGTGAATTGCAGCATATCTGATGACCCCCTCCCGATTCCTCATGAATTTTTCCAGCCAGGGGACCTTGTCATCGGTGGGATTGTTTCTCAAATATTCTTTCTTTATGATAGCCTCTCTTTCCTGGAACAGCGTACACAGACCATCACTGATGAACCCATGTAAGACCTTACTTCTTCCCTCTCTCACTTTGTAATATGTTCAGTTCATAATTAGGGAGAATGCATTATCAAGAAATACTGTGATTTATTTACTTTTGGTGTGAGATATGTGGTTTTCCCGTTGCAGTGGCAAATTGTTGATAGATATATTACATTCTACATTATATTGTTATTTACAGACCATTAATAAGCTTTGCTCTATGACCCCATTGATGTGAAAATACAAAAAACCAAACACATCACAGTGAAGCCCCATCTGCTTGGGCCAGTAATTGCTGCTGCTTTTGTAAGAAATAGGAGGGAGGGCAATATGTACAGAGAGGAATTTCTTTAGGTATACAGTTTGTGATAGCACATATCATGCTTATTGTTGTGCATTTCAATAGTATGTTGTATAATTCTCAGCTACGATACACCTCCGTCTTACAAGCTTAACATTAAAGTGCTGTTTTATTGTAGCTGCAGAACTTTTTTAAAAAAACACACTAACTGTAACTCTGATTACAGTTCAGTGCCTAAAAACTACCAGCACATCCTGGCCTTTGCATTTGCTGTCAAAGAGATCAATGAGAATCCCAACATCTTACCAAATATGTCTCTGGGACTCCACATCCTCAATAGCTACTACACTGCAAGGATGACCTATAAAGCTACCTTAAGCCTTCTGTCAACACGACATAGGTTTGTCCCCAACTTCAAGTGTGACAGCCAGAACAATCTGATAGCTCTCATTGGAGGCTGCATCTCTGAAATCTCTGCCAATATGGCCATCGTTTCAGCAGTCCATAAGATTCCACAGGTAAGCTTTCTTCATAAGTGTATGGAACTCTCACAACTCTTGTATGCTATCTTGATTCCACAACCCTTTCAATAAATTACCCGTGAACATTTTCCTGTGGACTTCTCCTTATACACATGCTTGGTTGCAATGTTCCCTAATGTAAACTCTTTTGCAAAACATATTCTCTTCTATAATGCATTTTTATATGCTATTTTCACTATTATATACATTCTAATGCACACTATGCCTTTCCATATGCATTTTAGCACATATTACTCATTTGGAAATTTTGATTGCTAAAATAAAAGAATGGCAAATTTCAAAGAATCACTAGCTTTTTGTTCTCAGGTTGTTTTGAACAAGGGAATAATGTAGGTCCCTGCTTAATCACCCCAGTATGGCTCCCCTTCATCACACACACAGCCCAACAATATGACAAAAGTAATGCTGGCACAAAACTCCACACATACACTAAGTAGAAGAAAAGAAGCATAGCCACTCCACCCCATACCTTCCCCCCTCTCTCCCCTCTTTTCTTCCTAACCTACCATTATATGCAACAAGAAATCTTTAATAAAAATAAATGGGGGGTGAGACATAAATTTTATTTCTCTTCTCTTATTCCCAGTGCTACAGAGAAGCTACTCTAAATTTCATAAGACTTTGTCAATCCTATAGCCACGTTTTGTGACATTTTGTTATGTAACATGAGAAATGGCCTCCTGAAGACCACAGACTTGATGGAAGCCTAATGTCTCTCCCAGTGTAGCTAGCTTCAGTCTGGATCACTATTGTAGTTTGCTATTACAACTTAAGCAAGCGGGAGTGATAATTCATGTGAGAGCTCTAGCCAGTGGCGTAGCGTGGGGGGTGCAAGGGGTGCCGGCCGCACCGGGCGCAACATCTGGGGGGGCGCACTCGCCACCTCCAGAGTCGCCGAAGAGCCTCGGGGCTCAGCTCCTTTGGGAGGAGGGGTCGGGCTGGGTGACCAGGGGGAGTAGCAGGCGCTAGCAAGGAGGTCCGGAGCCGGAGCCTGGCCAGGATCGGGCGCGGGATGGGGCGCAAGAGGGAGGGGAGAGTCGAGCCTGTCCGCCCCGCGAGGACTGCTGCGAAGAGGCGGGAGGGAGAGGAGGCCCCTTGGGAGGAGCGGGCAGGTGCTGGGGCGGCAGTGCCGGGCGGGGGCCGAGGGGTGGGCGCCCCCCTGCGCGGGCATCATCTCGCCGCCGCCGCGGGCTTGGCTGGGCGACCGGCTGAGGGGAAGCGCCAAACAAGGCCAGGATCCAGGCCCCCGCTCTCCTTATTTGGCACCCATTTCCGGCTCCCGGGTGGCCCCCTCCCACCCGCTCTCGCTACCAGTGGAAAGAGAGACGGAGGAGCAGCGGAACCCGCAGCCTTTGCAGGCGCTGCCGGCCGGGAGAGGGGAGCGCGGCCCCGGCCAGCCGAGGGATCTTGTGGCGAGGAAGGAGCCCAGTCTGCGCCCTCCTTCCCCACAGAGCTGCAGAGGGAAATCAAGGTTCTCCTGCTAGTTTCTCTTCTTCTCTCCCCCCCCACTGCGTTACAACCGTGCCCCCCCTCTCGGTGCACATAGCACGATTGCAATCTCTCTCTCACCCCCCCCAAGTTAAACTAATGGAGCAAGCCAGCGCCAAAGATTTGTAGAACTGTGAATACCCGGCCCAGGCAGCAGCAAGAAGCTGGCAGCGGCGGCAGGTTAGGGGTTAGGGGCGCAAATTACCTGCCTTGCCCCGGGTTAGGGGGCGCAAATTACTTGCCTTGCCCCGGGTGCTGACAACCCACGCTACGCCGCTGGCTCTAGCAGCATGGCAGCACTGTTCTATTGCCTTTCAAAGCACCCTCCTAATGGAAGAGTGCTCTGCTAATTCATTTGGCATGATAGAAGGCGACCAAGCATGCAGACCTAAATGAAATATTTAGAAGAAGAGGCATGTTGCCTGAGACAAGTGATTCAGGGTAGGTCGTGATGAAACCAATTACTGGGGAGATCCTCACGGTGGGCCTCCAAGGAGACATACAGGACCTCCTACAAGTTAATGGTTTAAAATTCTTTTCTATTCTTGTACTTTTCCTTTCAGCTCACATATGGATCATTTTTGCCACTACAAGGTGCCCAAAGTTTATTCCCATTTCTATACCAGATGGTCCCCAATGAAGCCTACCAGCACTTGGGTGTTGTGCGGTTACTTCAGCATTTCAGATGGACCTGGATTGGGCTTTGGGCTGTAGATGACGATCGAGGAGACAGATTTTTACAGACAATGATGCCATTGCTTTCCATTCACGGTATCTGTTATGCCTTTGTCACAAGAATACCCAAATGGAATTATGTGGATGAGATGATAAAGTTTGGTTTGCAGCGTTTAGAAAGCTATGCAAAAATCTGTGAGGGAAACTCCAGTACGGGAAATCCCAGTGTATTCTTTATTTATGGAGAACCTCCATCATTTCAGAGTTTGAGAATGCTGCTGTTTTATTTTCCTTTCTTCTCACTGCCACCTCTGAATAAAGTATGGATTGTTACATCCCATTGGGATTTTGCATCACACTCTCTTCAGAAGAATTGGGATATGCAAGCATTTCATGGTTCTTTATCCTTCACAGTTCACTCAAGTTGGTTATTAGGTTTCCACAAGTTCATTCACAAGTTAAGGCCGTTGTGGGCAAAAGGTGATGGCTTTATCCAGTCCTTCTGGGAGCAGGCCTTCAGCTGCTCATTCAAACTCTCTAAAGGACAGCAAGACGAGGAAAACAACAAAGCGTGCACTGGGGACGAGAAGTTGGAGGGCCTTCCTGGAATTCTGTTTGACATGGATATGACTGGCCACAGCTACAATGTCTACAACGCTGTCTATATTGTGGCACATGCCTTGCATGCCATAAAGAAAAGGAGCTCCAAGAGTAGAAGGTTTATGGAAGGAGGGAAACTGGCATTTCCAAATGTGCAATCATGGCAGGTAACTACAATTCACCCTTTGGTACAGAGTAAAAGGAGTTGTAAATTTGCATAATTCATTTCTAGCAGCATTATATAATGGTTCTAATATAGCATTATTTAACGAGAACGGCATACTGTTGAAAAATTTGTAAGGCCTCCGTGAAGTCCATTGAATACATTTTGTTTGGCTGCCTGCTTGTTTTGTTTTGAATAAGCACTGCCACATATACCGGTAATTGTCCTAATATAGAGTTATTTAATGAGAATGACTTACTGTTGAAAAATCAGTAATGCACACTGAATGAATTTCAAGTCCTGGTGACATCTCTGCACATATTCTCTTTAAAAGGTGCATTCCTTTCTAAGGCACATTGCGTTCAATAACAGTGTGGGAGATTCTGTGCACTTTGATGACAATGGAGAATTAGTTGCTTCTTTTGATGTAACAAACTGGTTGATTTTTCCCAATGGCTCACTGGTTAGAGCAAAAGTTGGAAGACTGGATTCTCAGGCTCCTTTAGGAGAAGAGTTAATAATTAATGATGACCAAATTTTATGGCATCCAAGTTTTAACCAGGTAAGATAGGTTAGCTAACTTTTAAATATATAAAGCAGTGAACACAAGTATGTAAATGAGGAAAATATCAATCCAGAACTGTATATAATGTACATATATGTGAAATAAATGTTGAATACTGTATTAGGAGATTTTTTTGGGGGGGGAGGGCAAGAAGGAGAGGAAGAATGCTAAGGATGTGTCAGCCAAGGAATCCAGCAATCCTCTACTTCCCAATTTCATTTCAAGATGGAAGAGGATTCTGTTGTTCATAAAGCTTGTCTCCTATTTGTCGCAGGCACTTACAAAGATCCCAGGTTGACTTCCAAACAGCTCAGCTTCATTGTGATTACAAATGGCATTAGTAATGTCAAGGTCAATCGCCCGCAATATGGAGATCAATTCTCTACTTGTAGTTAGGTTTTCATCCCTGATGCATTTATGATTCTGTGATGAAGGGTGTGGCAATGAGCCTGTTGGCTCTGCTTACGTTCTCAGTGCTCATTGCTAGCAGTAAGGAGGCTTTTTTACCCATACAGCATTCTTTTTTCTTCTTCTTTTAAATATATTTTTATTAAACCATTTTAACAAAACAAGTTACCAATGCAAATAATCAGTTACATTATTTTCCCCCTTCCATCCCCCCTTGCCATCGCTCCCTCTCCCTCTCTCCCGAGACTTCCCTCAGCTCCCTTCTCTGATTTGTTTGCACTTGTTATTCTCTGCATGTTAAAAATTGTACATATCATTACCTTATCTGTTATATATTCTATTAATAAATTTGTGTATGTTTATTCAAAACATGCCAAGGAGTCCAAGTCATTTTATTAATTTTTAAAGTAATTTGTAAAAGGTTCCCAATCTTCTTTGAAGTCACAATTGTCCTTCTCACGTAATTTGTAGGTCAGTTTGGCCAGTTCCGCACAACTCATCAGTTTTTCTTGCCACTGTTCTATCTTTGGGATTTCCTCATTCTTCCATCCTTGTGCTAACAAGACTTTTGCCACTGTCGTAGCATGCATAAATAAATTCTTTGTTTTCTTGGCAGGTCTTGTCCCACAATCCCTAACAAAAATGCTTCTGGGTTTTTTTTTTTACAAATGTCATTTTAAACTTTTTTCAATTCATTTTAGATCATTTCCATTTTATTTTTTTTAACTTCTCTACATTCCCACCACATATGATAAAAAGTACCTTCTTTTTCTTTACATTTCCAGCATATGTTTGATCCAGTTTTGTACATTTTTACTATTTGTACAGGTGTAGTATACCATCTATACATCATTTTCATATAGGTTTCTTTCAAAAGAGAACAATCTGTAAATTTCAAATCTACTTTCCACAATTTTTCCCAATCTTCAAATTGTATATTATGCCCTATGTCCTGTGCCCATTTAATCATGACTCATTTGACCTCACCTTTTGTTTCCCATTCTAGCAGAATACTATATGCTTTCTTCAACAGCTTCACTTCTTCTACAACTTCCATTTGGAATCTGGAAATTGTATAACTGAACCCTTTCTTATTATCTTCCTTGTACATCTCATGTAGTTGTCTATAGTGTAGCCAACTATGAAAATGGTCTTTAACTTCCTCATAGTCTTTTAATTTCTATTTCTCTTCTAGTAATTTTCTAGTAATTTTCTATATGTAGGCCACTTCCCCTTTTTGCCAAGCGGTTTGAGTTAGGAAGCTTCAATTGGTGATAACCACCAGCGTGTTTTTTGTTCTATTAAATCTTTGTACCTCTCCCACAAACCCCATACAGCATTCTTAATCCTATGCAGTTGATGCAACACTGCTGACATGAGCAGAAAATCAACAGAGAAGGGTCTCTACTGCAGACTTCTGATTTGCAACGGATAGAAGCTGGTGGAAAAGGGTCAGAAGAAAGTGACAGAAGCATCTGGGCGTACCGGGTTTTGTTCACGTTCCCCCTTACATGATTCAAATCAGATGAAATAAAAAAAATTCCTTACAGTAGCACCTTAAAGACCAACTAAGTTAGTTCTTGGTATGAGCTTTCGTGTGCATGCATTCGTGTGTGGTATCTGAAGAAGTGTGCATGCACACAAAAGCTCATATCAAGAACTAACTTAGTTGGTCTTTAAGGTGCTACTGTAAGGAATTTTTTTATTTTGACTATGGCAGACCAACACGGCTACCTATCTGTAACTCAAATCAGATGGGAAGTGAACGACGGAAGAGTAGAAATATCTTATTGCTAATCTCCATGTTATTACTATGTATAGGTGTTGCCTATTTCTGTGTGCAATGACAACTGCCAACCTGGCTACAGCAGGAAAAAGAAGGAGGGAGAAAAATTTTGCTGCTATGATTGTGCTCCATGTGCAGAAGGGATGATCTCTAAGCAGATAGGTAGGAGATATAATATATAATGCATCATATGTAAGTATGTCTTGACCGTTAAGGCACATATAGCCATTACTTTGATGAAGCTAAGCAGTTCTAGTTCTGATCGGTATCTGGATGGGAGACAGATTGGGGACCCAGTATATACAACCTTACATTCCACAGTGGAAGAAAAATGGGATATAAATGTAAGAATATATTTTAAAATTCATATTAAATATGTTTGAGGGGGTGGGGGATATCCCCTTATAGTTTTTTTGTTGGTTTTACAACTCCTTGGGCAAAAGGGAGCATATAAATGTAAAAATCAAATAAATAAATAAATAAATAAATGCAAACAAGTCAAAGGTACAAAAAAATAACCAGAGAAATGTGATAGTACAAATGCATATCAAAATTAAAGGAGGCAAAACCCCCTTTTCCAGGGAGTTCCATAACTACTGAGACCATCTCCTGGGTCCCAGCTAATCATATCACAGAAAATGGAAATCAAACAAATCTTAAAGCATGGATAGATTAGGAGAACTCTATCAGTGACCAAACTGTAAGACGTAGAGAGCATTGTGGTGTAGTAGGTAGCACATAAACACCCAGAAGCTCTTAGAGTTTTTATATTAACTTTCACCATGTAATACACAGTGCCTGTAGAAGTGTCTCCCATGCTATGTGTTTAATGAGTCAAATTGTTAGTCTTTCCCAGCCCACGTAAGGGTGCAGCTGGGTCACAAGCCAAAGCTGATGGAAAGCACTCTGAGCCACTGAACCCATCTGAGCCTCAAGCAACAGTAAAGGATCCAGAAGTACCTCCAAGCTGTAAACCATTTCTTCAAAGGGAGCACAGCCCCACCCACAGCAGGCAACATTCCAGCCATTTTGCCTCAGGTGGCAAAAGGCCATGGGCCAAGCCTGGGATCTTTTGTAATCTGAGTTTGGCACATTCCTGTTCCAATACTATTTCTTTCTCATTGTACAGTGGTGCCCCGCAAGACGAATGCCTCGCAAGACGAAAAACTCGCTAGACGAAAGGGTTTTGCGGTTTTTGAGCTGCTTCGCAAGATGAATTTCCATATGGGCTTGCTTCGCAAGACGAAAATGTCTTGCGTTTTTTGCAAGTTTGTTTCCTTTTTCTTAACACCGTTAATACAGTTGCGACTTGACTTCGAGGAGCAACTCATAGAACGCGGTGTGGTAGCCTTTTTTGAGGTTTTTGGTGATTTTTGAAGCTTTTCCAAAACTTTTCCGACACCGTGCTTCGCAAGACGAAAAATTCGCTAGACGAAAAAACTCACAGAACGAATTAATTTCGTCTTGCGAGGCACCACTGTATCCTCACTATCTTCTCTAATCAGAAGAGAACTCAAGGAAATGTACATAGAGATTCCAAGCAGTCTACTATCCAGTGAGAAAGTTGAATCAATCATCAATCACTTTAACAGGATGGTTATGCATTGTACCTTCAGACCATACCTTATAAGAATAGTACTACCCATAATAGCAAACAATTATTAATAGAATAAAAAGAAAAACAACAATAATGATATTTTTCATATGAAAATTGCTTCTTTGGTCTTTAAAGTGATCCACTTAAATTATCCCTATAAATCAGATAAGTGAATATCATCATTATTCTCAAAGCACAGCATAGATGGTTGAGAACTTCCATATGACATTCTTTGCTTGAGATGAAATTATAATCAAGAATTTTGAAATTAAGGGACCCCTTTTTCTCATTCTCACTTATGACTCCATACCTTATAGGAATAGTACTACCCAAAATAGCAAACAATTATTAAAAGAATAAAAAGAAAAACAACAATAATCCAAATTTTCATTAAAGTAAATCACATAAATTCCTTGTAAGTTTTTAACACTGTCAAATTAGTGGGTATTAGTGTTGTTGTCTCAGCACAGCATGGATGGTTGAGAAGTTTCATATGGTATTATTTGCTTGAGATGAAATTAACATCAAGGATGTTGATATTAAGGAAGCTCTTTCTCCTAGAAATTCATTATCACTTATGACTCCTTTAAATAGGTAATGATCAACTTCTCGAAGTATTTAAAGTAGCTCTTTACTATTTTCAGATATGGATGCCTGTGTCAAATGTCCAGAAGACCAGTATCCCAATATGGACCAAACTCAATGCATCCCCAAAGCTGTAAGCTACCTCTCTTACAAAGAAACATTAGGGATTACTTTAGCTATCTTAGCCATTTCCTTCGCCTTTATCACAACTTTCATACTTGGAATTTTTGTGAAGCACAAGGACACTCCCATAGTCAAAGCTAACAACAGAACCCTGACCTACATCCTTCTCATTTCTCTCCTTCTTTGCTTCCTCTGCTCCTTACTCTTCATTGGACAGCCTGGAAAGGTCATCTGCCTTCTCCGACAAACAGTCTTTGGCATCATGTTCTCTGTTGCCCTTTCCAGCACTTTGGCAAAGACCATCACCGTGGTTCTGGCATTTATGGCAACCCAGCCAGGATCCAGAATCAGAAAATGGGTGGGGAAAAGAATGGCAAATTCCATTGTCCTCTCCGGCTCCTTTCTTCAAGCTGGCATTTGTTCTCTTTGGTTATGTACTTCCCCTCCATTTCCAGATATGGACATGCACTCAGTGACAGGAGAAATGCTACTGGAATGTAATGACGGTTCAACTATCATGTTCTACTGTGTCATAGGCTACATGGGTTTCTTAGCCATTGTCAGCTTCATTTTGGCTTTCCTAGCCAGGAAGTTGCCAGACAGTTTCAATGAGGCCAAATTTATCACTTTCAGCATGTTGGTGTTTTGCAGTGTCTGGCTGACTTTTGTTCCAACCTACTTGAGCACCAAAGGAAAATACATGGTGGCTGTGGAAATCTTCTCCATCTTAGCATCCAATGCTGGCTTACTGGGTTGCATCTTTTCCCCTAAATGCTACATCATTGTACTGAGGCCTGAACTGAATAAGAGGGAGCAACTAATAAGGAAAACCAAATGAAACAAATATGATAGCATTGTAGCTTAGAGTTATTAAGGCATTTGGGCTTGATTAAGGAAACATTAAGGAAATCCTTGCAACATCAGTGGAGATGGATGCATCACACTTCAAGTTGGCTTCATACCTATATTCTGTAGTCATAAGCCACACCCTCACGTTTCCATAACTTTCGCAGCTCGCTCAAATAAACTGTTAGACCTCCAGAAATTCATATAGATAAGGAACCCATCCCATGCAGAAGAATGTGTTTCTATTTAGGACTTCTAGAAGCAAGCAACCAGCTGTTTCCTAAACCTGTTTAAGGAGTTAGAAAAAAACTGTTCTAGAGAGGAGAAGCTGGAAAGCCTTCCTGGACTTTTTTTTGAAATGAACATGCCTAGCCATAGCTACAATGTCTGCAATGCTATCTATGCAGTTGCACATGTAATTCAATTTATTTTATATAGCCCAATGCCTTCACAATGAGTAACAGCGGGCAAAGGCCAAGGCTATAGAAGGCAATTACTTCATGTTCTCCTCCAAAATCATGTCTGGATATTATGTTCCTTAATTAAATAGTAATTACTTCCTTAATTAAATATATGTTTCTGTTTAACAGTCTGTATATTAGTGTGGGTGGATTCAAGTTTAAATAATAAAGGTTTGTGCAAGCTCCATAATCCTGTACCTCATTCCTATATATCTCCAATATATCCCTAAATCGCATTGTGCTCTCAAGGTCACCTCAGTCTCTCATCATTCCATGTGGACAATATTGGTTGCAAGTTGGCTACTTGTTGAATTGTAGTTTCCATTGCACGATCACTTCACTTACACAGAATCCACATGTCTAATCTAGTGAATAAACAAATCTGGGACTTTAATCCACTCCTTGCCACTGACAACAATCCAGTTCCAAGGCAGTGGTGAAGCTTGAACTAACCACAATACCATACACTATCCGTATTGCCTAAATAATACTTCTGTTGCCCTTAACACCTGCAGTTGCCAAGTATGAACATGAAAGGTGAATGGTATAATTCAGGAATTACAATACTTTTTCGGGGTGTGGGAGTGTGGAGAAATTTCTAAAACTTTTGTCATGCTTGACTATTCACTGGGGAGGTTAGAGCCACTGTCATTGTCAAAATTACTGGTTTCCATCCTCTGACTTAATTGATGTCTGGAGCCCAGAAACAGGAATAGCAATGAATATCCAAAAAAAGCTATAAAGTCTTCATGCTGCAAACTGGATCTAGGAAGAGGCATTGCTCTATCATGCATTTGTTGGGTCAGAAGGGCTTCCATGAGCTTGTTCTGCCACTATTTTATTGCAAAAATTTTACTAGGAGTAACCCTCAACACTTTCTTTCTCCAGGTTCATCTTCCATTTCTTAGTGTGAAGAAATTGGGCATTAGCTATGTATCGATTAACGGTTCCACTGACCTACACACCCTTGACCTAATTTACCATTTTGTGGGGTAGGGGGCAGACTAAGATCTCTCAACACAACACCCCCCTTTGCAATCCAAGTTAAAGTAATTGATGCCTAGAGGTGAAGATCTATAGCTAAGTATTGCAAAAGGGGAAGGAGCTAAGATTTCTCACTCACCTTGAGAGAATAAATTGAGGAGAAAGTACACTATATGGAGATGGATACTGATGGGAAATGATATATATTTAAATGCACAGCAAAATTGTTACCTAACAGATCAATCAGTAAATCAGTGTAGGAAGAGTATAATCCGAGCTGCCTGGTGCTGACAATTCCAAGTTTCCAGATTTGATACCTGTATGGGACAGCTGCATACTCCTGCATTGTCTCATATAATGCTGTGGATGGTAAACATATAATTTTGCACATTGAAAAATGGGTATCTCAATTAGGGGGGAAAGTTTTGGCAACAGGATCATGCTGGTAGTGGCATTGCTTCTCATACTGTTGTGTCATTCTGTTTGTGGGAAACATGTTGTGAATTGCAGCATATTTGATGATCCCCTCCCTATTCCTCATGAATTTTACCAGCCAGGGGACCTTGTCATCGGTGGGATTGTTTCTCAAATATTCTTTCTTTATGATAGCCTCTCTTTCCTGGAACAGCCTACACAGACCATTAATGATGAACCTATGTAAGGCATTACTTCTTCCCTCTCTCACTTTGTATTACGCTCAGTTCATAATTACTGAGAATGTGTTATCAAGAAATACTTTGATTTATTTACTTTTGGTGTGAAAAATAGGAGTGAGTGAAATATGTTCAGAGAGGAATTTGTTCATATTGAACATTTAGATATACAGTTTGTGATAACACATATGACACTTATTGTTGTGCATTTCAATATTATATTGCATAATTGTAAGCTATGCTACACCTCAGTCTTGCAAAGTTACAGTTAATTCATGATGATGTGTTAAAATGCTGTTTTATTGTAGCACTTACTTTTTTTAAAAAAAACACCAGTCTGTAACTCTGATTACAGTTCAGTGCCTAAGAACTACCAGCACATCCTGGCCTTTGCATTTGCTGTCAAAGAGATCAATGAGAATCCCAACATCTTACCAAATATCTCTCTGGGACTCCACATCCTCAATAGCTACTACACTGCAAGGATGACCTATAAAGCTACCTTAAGCCTTCTGTCAACACGACATAGGTTTGTCCCTAACTTCATGTGTGACAACCAGAACAATCTGATAGCTCTCATTGGAGGGTGCATGTCTGAAATTTCTGCCAATATGGCCATCATTTCAGCAACCCACAAGACTCCACAGGTAAGCTTTGTTCATGAGTGTATGGATCTCTCAAAACTATTGTACGCTATCTTGATTTCAGCATCCCTTTTGATATATTTCCTGTGAGCATTTTTCTGTGGACGTCTTCTAATACACATGCTTAGTTGCAATGTTCCCTAATGTAATCTATTTTGCAAAATATATTCTCTTCTACAATGCAGTTACATGCTATTTTCACTGTTGTTTTAATGTTAATGCACAGTATACCTTTTCACATGCATTTTAGCACATATCACTCAGCTGGAGATTTTCGTTGCTAAAAGAAAAGAATGGCAAATTTCTTTCTTTTTTTAATGATATTTATTAAAAGTTTAACAATTACAGAAAAAAGAAAAAAGGAAAACAACACAAAATTTAACAAGACATACATTACAATACATAAAAAGGAAACCATAAAAAACAATACAACAATATAACAAAAAAGAACAAAAATCCAATATTCCATATCTTTATCTTTCATTTACTTGTTTCATCGACCTCCTCACACCTCCCTTTTTGTATTCTAGTTCAATTAATTATTTCAGCAAATTCTTTCCATCTTTCTCAATTTTTGTTCTATAATTTATCTTAACAGTCTAACCTATTTATTAACTCAGCAAAATCTTTCCATCTTTAACTGTATTCTATCATTAAATTACCTTAATTTATTTTAACCTTATATTACCATAAAAAGCCTTAGAACTTAAAACTTAATACTTATTTATACATAACTCCTTATATCATTTCTACTAAAGCCAAGTAGTTTCATTCCAACATTTTTCCTAACACTCATAAATTTTACACTAATTCTCAAAGTGAATTTTAAAAAACTTTCTTCCGATCGTCATCCAACGTCTCTTCTTCCTGGTCTCAGGTTATGTCAGTCCTTTCTATCCATTCCCTCTAGTCTATCAACCTGGTGATCTTCTGTCCGAGGCTCTTAAGTCTTTTCCATGTCCCTTCTGCAGATCTTCTTCTTGTTTATACCTGCACTTTACTTTGTCTTTTGCTGATCTTATTCTTAATTTCCTTCCTTTCTCATTGAGGAGTAGGTCTCGGGGAGACTCCAACCTAACCATGTCTCCATCCCCCCTCGGCAGGTCAGCCCATTCTCCGCAGTCAGCACTGTAATCCAAAAAATATTTATAGGCATGTTTCAAAGTCCCTCCAAAGTTAAGAACCCCCACAACTCCAGACTCCCCCTGGCCCAAAACCATATCCCAAAAGCTGAGACATCCCTGCATAGGGGGGTCCATCCAACTTCCCATCTCCAAACCAAACAGTACTCCATCTCTCCAAATCTGACTTTCTCCAGATTCAGTCGTCAAAGACAGCAACTTATGTTCCGACAAGGCCTCGGGTCTCTCCATTTGTGTTACTTGAGGTTCAACAACAACCTCCTCCATTATCTTCTGCACTTGCCCTGTCAAAGCAGATTCCTGGGTTGGTTCCTGAGTGGTTTCTATGTGAGTATTCACTGTTTGTCCAAAATTACTGACTGCAACAGTCATCAAATCCATCTTCTCATGCAGCTGCTCCAACAAAGCACTAGTCTTGCAAAAAGCAAGCACCAAAACTTCTTCTAAGCACATTCTTATCCAAGGTTAAAGTCTAGTCTCACGATCCTTAATCTCCACAGCTGTGGAATTCCCCAGATCGACTCCAGCAACAGTTTAACAAGCTCCCTCTAGAGGAGACAATTTCTATTTGTATCCATCTTTTGAAAGCAGGTCCAGCAAGAAAAAAAAATACTTTCGTTTTTCAAATATTTTGTTTCTTTTAAATGCAAAAGGAAACATTGGAATCAATATGTTTCTCTTTTTTAACTATCTGTCAAAAGACATTCCATTCAGAGTCAATGAACTTCCCCAAAACGTCTGTCTCTGACACCCCGTTCCCAGGTTCAAGATGGTGGAAATTTATCTTTCTTCACTCTCTCTCATGCAGGTTTAAACAATCTAAGATTCCCCCCCCTCTTCTCCTGCTTCCAAGAGGGGTTTTGGTAATTTTAACTGAAGGAAATTTAGTCCTTTATATACGACTTTCCAGACTTTAGCTTGCAAAATTTTTGCTTCAGTCTATTTACAAAAGCGGGAGGCGGACTTCCTGTTTAGAACCTTCCCGCTTTGGTGCCAAATTAGAATGTTTCGTAGTCCAATTTTCTGTTCTACTCTGGCAACGGCTGTGTGGCTTCACTCCGTAAAAGTAGCAGTCGATCCAAACACCGCGCCACTCACCCCACTTCGC